AAAAACCTGGAATTGCATCCAGAACTTCTAGGGAAAAGAGCTGGTCTAACCTTTTCAGCCAGGCCCTTTGGAAAGAGTAGTGAAAAGAGGGTTGTGAAAAATTAGCCCACTCAGGGAAAGGCTAGAACACCGAGGTGCTGCTTTCCAAGGCGAGAGGAACACGCAGAGCCAGCTCCGAGGCGGGGGAGCCAATAGGAAGAGGCTGGGAGTGCCCTGGAGGCCACATGGGCCATCTCTCCAATCAAGGGAGAAAAGGAGCGAAAAAGAGAACTGGGGCAGGAAGCATTAGCTCTGTTGAATTCTCACTGGGGGTTCTAAAATTTAAAGTTAGGATTCATTATCTAGAGAGTACGGTTGAGCTACACTCCATAGTAGTGAAAATATCCTGCTGCTGAAAGCAAAATTGTTTGTGTCTAGATATCTTTCTGGGGACATTTTCCATACCTTTTATCAAATTCTCAGAGGGGGCCTTTGAATCATAGAGAGCTTCACCAAGTCTCAACCTTTGACATGCTTGTAAGGAGATAATTCTAGAGGGGGAGAAACCCATTTTCTGAATAATTTCTTGGATAAGCTGATCGTCATTTAATGGACCGGAAAGCACAGAGGAATAGAACATAGGACTGCTATAGGAAGGGGAGGCCATTCCTTTACCCATTCATTTAACAACTAATGAGCAGCTATTATGCCAGGCACTGTTTAGATTCTGGGATACAGTACTAAACAAAACAGGAAAACAATTCCTGCCAAGTAGACTGAAGCTTTCATTCTAGTGAGGGGAGACTAACTATGAACAAAACAAATGAGTGAAATAGTCATCATGTGAGAAGGGAGTACACGCTAAGAAAAGTGAAACTAAACAGAGGGATAAGGAGGGCTGGGGGTAGGGTAAGGAACCTTGAATGTTAAACAGCATAATCAGGACAGTCTTACTGAGGTGATGTTTGAGCAAAGACTGGAAGAAAGCAAGGCACCAAACCGTGCCACTACCTGGGGAAAGAGGATTCCAGGCAGAGGAAACAGCAAGGGCAAGGGCAAGGTCCCTGAGGAGGAGCTGCCTAGAGTGTTTGAGGAGGCTGGTGAAGCTGGAGTGACATGAGCATAGGAGAAGGTTCTAGAAAACAAGGTCAGAGAAGTAATGGGGGAGTGCAAATTGGGCCCTCTAAGTCATTATGAGGCTTATGACTTTTTCTCTGAGCACAGAAGGGCCTTGATATGACTGGTTTAATGGGTCACTGTGGCTGCTCCATTGAAGACAGACTGTAAGAAGGCAGGGGCAAGAGTGTGGAGGTGAGTTTGGAGGCTGTTGCTGTACTTTGGATGAGAAAGGATTCCATCTCAACCACGGTGCTTGTAGCAAAGGTGGTGAGAAGTGGGCAGGTTCTGGGTAGAAAAAGCCATAGAAAGTTTCTCCAAGGGCTAGAAAAAGGCAGCAGCAACATTGAGTATCTCGGTGACTTCACAATATGTAGGGGGCCTGCCCTGCCGGTCTAGTAGACCCAGATGAGAGGTGCTTTACAAGTGGTATTGTGCCCTGGCAAAGGAGCCCTGCCCATGCTCCTGCCAAGACTGACTTCAGACAGGTCGTTCATTTCCTCAGGACTGAAGTTCTCTGACTCACAAATAGGAAGAACAAATATGGCCTTAGATGGGACTCTCTGCTGTCTTAAAATGCCTTCTACTTCTGGGATCTCTGATTTTGGTTCAACAAGTAACTTTAAAAACATCTGAGATGCCACATCAGAGTCAACACTGTTCTCTGAATAAGTCAATAGCGCTGCACTCTGATTTCCCCTCCCCTGGACTTTCCACTGCCCACAGGACTTACGCTTGACTTGCTTCTCAGGGTGGTGGCCCTGTGGTGAGGTGAGGGAGAGATCCCCATGTGTACTGTGACAAAGTATAGCAGTTCACCATGGCAAGGCTCAGCCAAGCGTTGTGGGAGGCAAACACAAAGTACATAGGCAGCATTTTGCCTCCAAGCAGGTGCAAGATTCTACAACATCCGCCACCCTTGTCAGCGCAGACAGCCTAGAGGACTGGACCAGGGAAGGCAGAAAATGTCACCATGGCTCACAACCTCATAAGCCAGGGCAATACGGAAGGCCACAGCTAAGATGATCCAGGAGGAAACAACATACCATCTAGCTTTAATAAATAAAAACCTCATTTTGGCCTGATTAGCAGTTAAAACAGTTGCAGTTAGGGACTGGGACATGGTTAATGAAACCACACTACTCTTTTTGTAACAGGATGCAAATGTTAAGGATGACTGTGACAGGCACTCTTGAGTTTGACTTTCACATTCAGGTCACTTTTTTTTTTTTTTTCCTGAAGCTCCCGCTGGGTGGGTCACAGGCCATTACTGCCTCCCTGCTCCAGGTCCTGGGTCCACAGGTGGCCTCCCGACCTCAGTGGAGCCAGGTAGAGGCTCTTTCTCAGGAGCTTGGAATGGGGCTGCAGAGCCCGAGCTAGTGCTCAGGGGAGAGGTGTAGGAAAGCTGGGGATGGCACAGCAGTATTAGGGACAAGAGTATGCACAAGGGGCTGCTGAATAGAGAAAAACAGGCAGGCGTGCGGAGGAAAGCAGACTGAGAAACTGCGTGGCCCCGGAGAAACCGACGGCATAAGCCCCATGCTGACATTCCGCTTCTTAGCCCTGGTCCCTCGTGGGGCCTCTTGGCAGTGCCTGCACTTGGTTTCTCTGAGGAGATATTGTATCTACCCAGTAAATCCCTCCTTGTTGCTTAACATCATTGGATCCAGGTTCTATTTCTTGTAACCAAATAATTCCTGAAATGTATCAATTAAGATTCTACAGCAACATGGGGAAATGCTTAAGTTACAAAATAAAAGGACCTACTATTTTTATGAAGTTGAACTTATGCTGCCTCAGAAATCCCTGGGTACTGGAATAGTAACACGGAAGCAGAGGTCAGTTTGAAATATTTGGTGAGTCACACGATTAAAGAAAAGGGTCAGTTTGCAGATAGTCATAAAAAGAAGAGGTTATTGAAATAATTGCTCAACAGCACATTTACTCTCTAAAAAACAACCTCATATGGGTTGAATTTTTAAGATTGGGTTACTCTAATTTGATCTTTGGTCAAAATTTTGTGCCTTAGGTTACTTAGAGCCAGATTTAACATCATGTGGCTTTGTCTTTACTCTCCATATGCGGAACTGTAGCCAAATATGTTGTTCTCTAAACAGTAACTTTCCCTTGTTTATTGCAAAATGCAGTTCTATAGATAAAACCCACATAAATAAATGTTAATTTTATTGCAGAAAGTTGGAGATTATAATCATAGCATTTAATTTGTTTGAGTTGATATTGTAAAAATAAGCACCATGCTTTTCAAATGATTTGAAAGTCACTTTTATTTGCCTTTTTATTTTGATGGTGCAGAGACCGAGCTAGTGCTGGGCGGGAGGCAGGGGGCACTAGTAAAGTAAATAAGTAAAGTAAGTAAAGTCACTAAACTTGTGCAAAGGTAGCATGGAAATTATCTGAGGTGTCCTGTATGATTATGCTTTAACCAGGGTGGACATAACTTAAACGATTAAAACTAAAGATTAAAATATAAGGAAGTACTAGCTCATGCTGCCTACTACTAACTACATAACTTTACAATGCCTTTTGTTCTTCGTAACTACATAACGTTATAATGCCACTGATTCATAACGGGTTCAAATTAATTCTATGGGGTAGGACATCAGAATTATTAGTGTTCATTCTCAGCTATGATTTTTGTTCTCTAACATTATTGGTCCTATCAAAACATTTCAGTGTACAAAAATACTGCAAGGTTAATACCCAAGAAAAAAGCCATTATTATGTGTATACTGGTCATCATGATCAGTGTGGCACAATTTTAAAAAATAAACTATCATGCCTTTCAAAAAATAAAATAAAATAAAATAAAAGGTATTAAATTGCATACATTTTGTATTTGTCATTCTGGAAAAAGTATGTATATAGGAATGCTGGTTGGAAGGAAAACAAAAATATCTCTGGTGGTTTGAGGTTGTTTTTTTTTTCAAATTTTCACAAAATTATTTCAGTGTTTTATAATTTTTGAAAGAAGCTGTTAGGCAATCAAATAAATATATAATATTTAAACCATGAACACCTCCATAAATTATTTCTAAAACAACAGGCAGCACAGTTGTTAAATGATTATATATCTGTGCAGTTATCCTGGACACAAGTAGGTGTGTTCCTAAAATGCTGAAAGAGAATGGTAACTTCAGAACTCACGTGTGTCAGTTCTTTCATATTTTTATAAAAGGAGGAAAACATACTAGGTACATGTGTTTGCCAATTTCAGATGTTTTCTGCGTCAGTTTTTTGCAGGCAGGACCCTCCTGTAGTGTGGAAACATCACCAAGATTCCCAGAAAGCTCAAACACTTAAGCCATGTAACCCAGAAAAGTGTTTAATGCTGAATTCACCATGGACCTGCAAAACTCCAGGCAACTTCTGAACTTTTCCCCAGCATGATGGACCCTCTTCTGGACAGCAGCTTTATTTTCCTGTGCTGATCAGCCTAACTGATGCTTTCGGCATAGCTCTTGCCATAAGCCCTCTCAGGTCCCTCAAGTCCTGTAACCCGGCAGACTCATGGTGCTGCATGAGTTGGTGCTGCAGGGGACCCAGGGTCAGCTGGTCCAACCCACTCATTTTACAGGGAGAGTACTTTGGCCCAGAGAGGAGAAAGGACTTCTGTAAGGTCTCACGCACATCTGCTGATCAGTGCAAAGAACTTGTCCTCCCTCCAGCTGCTCTGGAATCAGCTCTTTGAGATGACCCAGCAAGGAAGCTGGCAGCTCTGAACCCTCTTTTCCTCCACACTCAGCAGAGGACTTGGCTATGACCATGCATAACACTGGTCATCTCCCTTGAACACAGTTCAAGGAGGGATCATGTCTGAAGCTACTTCCTCCACATCCCTGAGATGTCACAGACACTTGCCCAGGAAAGCCTGCAGGGGTCCTTACCTCCAGAGGGTGTGCCAGCAACTCTCCTGAGGAATTTAACCCACTCCTCCATTTCTGCCTGGGAGTTGGCCATGAGGACATAGGAGTCCTGTCCTGTGCGACTCTGTTCCCATGAGGCTGGAGAAAGAAGTAGCACTTATGAAGGCTTAGAGTGGTAAGGGGACCAGAGCAACGGGGAGGGAAGGGAAGCCAAACCCGAACTGATTCTTTGGTTCAGTGAAGCACTACCAGTCAAACAACATGATAGCATTCTCTAATTATCCTCAGTGAACTGGGTATCCATGCACTTTGTTGTTTTTGCTGAAGCTCTAATTCTACAGACAAATCATTGAACACAATGGTTTGCAATTGGGATGGCTTGGACTGACAGCTGCTTCCATAGAAGACAGAAGTCATTGCCTACCAAAGGGAAGAGGAAGATCATGGTGCAAGTTCAGTATTAGAGGAGACAGGATCAGCTCATACAACTTTGAAGACTTCAGATCATCACGCCAGTCATGGATAATTTCCTAAGCTAGCCTTGAGCCCAGTTATGGGAGTGGGGAAGGGGAGGATCCTTTCGTCTATCTGAAAACATCAACCTAGGAAACTGTACATGTCTATATTAGATTTAAAGTGAAAATGATAAAGAAAGTCCTAACAAGCTTCATGCGTGCATTTTACTAAGTATTGAGAACCTACCATCTGCAAGGTCACATG